GGGGGGGGGCATTTCAAGCAGTTTCTTTATTCTCTTGTTTTGTAGAAGCATGGGGAAGGGTGCCTGAAGGAAGGATGTTTCCAAATTTCTGTTCGTGAGATCAACCGAACAGCGTAAATATTCTAGGTAGAGCAAGCAGCATTCTCTCCATCCCATCTTGTTCCGGGAATCGGTTTTTCTCCGGATAAAATGCTCCAGGGACGTATTCTTTCTTATGTGGACACCCAGTACCATCGACTTGGTCCCAATCATAAACAAATCCCAATCAATTGCCCCTATCGTGCTCGCCCTCAAAACACGCAACGTGATGGTCTTATGACTATTGACAGCCAAGGTAAGCGCACACGTTGTTTATTTATTTTCAGCCACAAGTATTTTTAGGTAATGCCCCATCCTATTTCCCAGACAGTTTCAATGGGCATGTTGAGCACAAAGACCGAGTAGAACACGTGTACAATTTGCATGGAGAAGTGAACCGTCATGCTCCAAATACGGATGACGATTTCGTACAGCCAAGAGAGCTTTGGCGACGGGTAAGCAAGTACGCTACATTTGCGTTAGAGGGGAGCGCTGGGCAACGCAACGCACGCCGCGCAACCGCCACGCGTGCATCGTCGGTATACGCGAAGAACTGATCTAAGTGTTTGTTTAGGTATTAAAAGATGATGAAAAGGCTCGTTTGATTGAAAATACTGCCGGTATGCTGAAAGACGCCTCAACAGTCGTTCAAGAGCGATTCTTGGAGAACTACGCAAAGGTTTGTGAAGCAAAGTTTTTATGCCATCAAGTAAAAATTATAATTTCTAGGTTGACCCTGCCCTCGCTGAAGGAGTGAAGCAGGCAGTTGCAAAACTAATTGCCAATAAGGTGGAATTAGCTCACTCAAATGTCTGAGTAACATAAGATACTCCCTATTTTGACATTTGAGTATGTGTGATTTCTTCCCTGACTTTTGATTATGTGTTTCACGTGTATTCTCACTACTTTATCATTATGGTGCATTTCTGTATGTACACATTGTACGATTGAGTCAAATAAATTTGCCAAGATTATCTTTTGTTTTCGGTATACACCTAGTAAGCGGAAAAGGTACTCAAGATGAATGAAAAATAAAAAACGTTGAGCTCATTGCAAACCAACGTAAACCACTCAAGCTTTACAGAATTTTATGAAAGCCTAGTATTAGGTCGGTGCAAGAGTTCTTTCCGTTTTTTG